CACAGATCAATTCCATGTCAAATCCAACAAATGGTTGCCATAAATAGTGCAAATTTGAGAAGTTAAAGGGAGCGACATCTCAACTAGTATAACCCATCTATACATATTTATCATAGCTTGTGTGAAGAAATTACTCAAGGAAAGGCCCTTATTTGTTCCGTCAGCAAGTCGGCTTTATTAACGTTTTCATGCTCGCTCAAATTCTGATCCCTTTTTTTCATGAACATATTTTATTGGGCCGTGTTTACATGTCCATGACATCAGCCAATAACGCTTTACATTAGTGCAGCGGCATCGACTGGCAGACATACCGCGGACTTTACTTTCCAATAGTGGTACTCATTTTTCAAGATCAGAAAAAAGTTATTCGACCTGAACGCAAAACCACGATTCTCAATCTGAGTGTGTCACGCTACCGACAAATGAATCTCGGTCTAAAATCAAACTGTGGGGCATGTTACGACGGAATATACCAAATAAAAGTTGTGCTGGGGTGGAATGCAAGGCACAGGATAACATTTCTAATAACATTCGAGCTCAAACGATAATCTCCAATGATGGTAGCAGATGTTACGCAAACAGGCAAATCTGACGCATAATCCGCGCAACACCATCACAGCCATCTTCTAACTGCTTTAAAACTAAGTCAAACAAACGTACAAGCTTTGAAGTGATAGAATATTTTACTTATTTGTAATAGCATACTATGGTTAAAAATAACACAATTTACGACAAAGCTACAAGAAACAAGTTTCAAATTTTTTTTTATAAAATGAACATATGACGAAAAACATTATCGAGGCTCAGAGGTTCTAAACTGCTCGCGAAGCAGTAGAACACTCTGTTTTTGATCGGCTGGCAGCATGGCGATTTGCTCGTCAGTCAGCTGCAGGACTTGCATAATCAAAGCCGCCTTTTCCTGATCCTCGGCAGAAGCAGGGACATTTGAATGACTTGGAGGTACCATTGTTAGGGGCGCATGGCTTGGAGCTTGTGCCGCAGCAACTGGGACGTTTGGTAGAATTGGACCTCGCGACCGGCTCGCAAAATCACCAATGGTCGGGATAGGAACGCGTGGCGCTACAAATGGTGGATAGACAACAGGCGCTGGAACAGGCATTTTTCGGTAATCTACATCACTCTTTGGACCAACTATAGGACCAGCAACAGGTAGGACCCCGCTTGATGCAATGGGCATAGCCGTAACAGGCATAGTTGGTGGAAATGCGCTTAACGCAGGCAGCACTGTGGTGGATAGGGTAGGCGAGGATCCCCCACCATCAGAAGCTGAATTCATTGACGTAGGAGGTCGGCTGGGCGGAACAGTGACGGTCGGATCGCGGCTAACAATGGACATGGCCAGCTGAGGGTCGACAATGCGCATCACCACTTGAGCCTGAAGCAAAGCATATGCCAACTGTGGATTTTTCAGCAGCATATTCCTGGCTTCATTCGGGTTGTTTTGAATGCATATCTTCATTTGTTTCATCAGCTCAAACATCTGTTCTGGGGGTAGAGAAGCGACGGCGCGCGAAATCGCTTCAGGAGCTTTTTGTGAGGGGCAAGAGGAGCTTTCGGGGGAGGGCCCTTCCAGGGATCCCTGCAACTGCCGCAGTTCTTCTTTGTGTCGTTGGCCCACCACCAGATCGAGGCGAAGGAGCTGCCCACGTAAATCGAAACCGTTCAAATTTCGTAGTGCACTCAGAGCTGCCTCTTGATCGATGAATTCGCAAACTCCGTAGCCCTTTGAGCGGCCGGTTTCTCGATCAACCGCTAATCTAAAAGCGACTAGTGGCCCCATCTGGGAGAACAATGCTTTCAGCTCTTCCTCGGTTGACTCGAACGGGATGTTGGCAACAAAAACCAACCTCTGTGATTTGTCCACATTAGGAGAAACACCTGGCTGTATCAGAGTCGTAAGGTTGGACATCGTGCAGAAAGTGAGAATGACTCATTCTTAAACAAAAAATGAGTAAGTCAAGCAGGTGCATGGCTACACTAAATACGCATAGTCAAAATTAGCGTACAAATAACAACAGAATATAAATCTAAAGTTTATTATTACATGGTCACCGTGATAAATAATACATTCCGTCCTTTAAAAAGTGACAACTCAAATGTCACGTATTTCTAAAAATCTGTGGTTAGACATAAATTTCATTGTGATTTTCACAATTCTTCTTTTTTTCTTTCAAAGAAAAAACTTAATCAAACCACGGTTCCAATGCATTGTGGACATGTAGTTCACTGGATGCATCTCTCATCATTTCATTCGATAGAGCCACCTCGCGATTACTGAGGCTGCTATCTGGTTACATGTCACAGCCACATCAAAATATGTTTATAAGCAAGCAAATCAAATGGGGCAAAACTGCTCCAAGACCACATTTCGTAGGACACTGCATCGCACTCCTGTTAGTATTTTCAGGGGCGAGGGGTTTACGCAGGGCGCTGCTCTATCTGAGTATTTGAGTAAAGTCAGTGCCAGATGACTCAGGCGT